TACAGTGTACCTGACATGGTGATTGTTATAGTGTACCTGACATGGTGATTGTTACAGTGTACCTGACATGGTGATTGTTAGAGTGTACCTGACATGATGATTGTTATAGTGTACCTGACATGGTGATTGCTATAGTGTACCTGACATGGTGATTGTTATAGTGTACCTGACATGGTGATTGTTACAGTGTACCTGACATGGCGGATGTGAGAAAGCAGCATGGTGAGGTGGCCCAGGCGCAGAGTCTGCTGCTGCGTTGACAGACCCAGTTTAGAAATGGCCCAGACCAGTGCATCAATCACAGAGTCCAGAAGCCGCAGCAGCTTGTTCCGACTCTCCAGTTCCTCAGCCGTCTGTGCAGAGTTTGTGCTCAAATCTGCAAAAAACATCACACACACACACGATATCAGCCAAAGGCCTCTATGTTTTCTATTAGCTGCTCACTGTGTCTTCAGGTTCTGCTCTATACATTTACCTCTATACATGCAACAAGAAGATGCAACAGGACCACAGAAGTGTTTCAGCAATGAGTTGAACTCACCACCCTTCTGCTGTGAGGCAACTCCTCCGTGCCACAACCTTTTGACTGTGTTTTTGTTGCACATATACAAACCTCATAAAAATCTCCATCAGTTTCAGAAGTTGGAAGAGTCATTAAGGTTCATGAAATAATTTGATGCTCTATGTTTTAGAGTTTAAGCTGATTACCAGGTGACTGGTTGGTTGAACTAAACCTCAGAAACACTCTGAAACGTTCCAACATGTGAGCTAGAGCTGCAGAAAAAAAGGATTGAACCTGATCCAGGTCTCTTATTAAGCTGCAGTTTGTTGTTTAGTACATTAGCTGCTATTTCTTTCTGCCATCTGGCTCATTAAAGACCCCAAAGGATTTTGTGATGGACTCTTGGAGTGAAACTTTAGAAGAGGACGGAGAGGAGAAGATGTAGATCACTCTGTCCACCCACCACCAGTGCAGAGCCCAAAGCTTTCATCCATCCAGATTCATAAATCTTAAACATCCTCCCTTGTTTGTCCTGACTTTACTTTCTTTCACTTCTTGCACAATTTCTTTTTTTAAATCCTACCCCAGCTCAGAGTCAATGCCTTCAGGAGGAAGCTTTGTTCAACTGAACTGTGAGKACATGCAGGCAGGTCAGTCACCTCATTCAAATCTGTCTGCTGGTGGGAGGGGCCAACGAGAGGACACCGTGACCCCTGGAAACACATTCAGGCTTAAAACAACCTAAAGCTGTGCAGAAATGAGGTCCATGTTTGTGGATCAGAGGAAGCAGTGCATCAAGCACACTTAGTGAAAAGAAAACCTACAATAAAGTCTTCATTAGATTTACTGCAATGACTTTTACTGTCCAAGAACCTTCTATAAAGTTTAAACATCAGGAAAATACTAGAGCGCTAAAAACAATCATGAGTTTTAATGAAGGTTTGTATCCAGTGTTGGTGAATCAACAACTGACATCAAGTCAAAGTTCAGTGTTACAAGTTCTGTTGGATCAGAACATTTTTAAAAACGAAAGTTTTAGTCAAAACCAACTCTGTAGAGGCTAAAATACTATTTGTTGCCCTTCAGTCTCTCATGTGGTTGTGGAGGGGTTTTGGTCACTCTTCAGTTCCTGCTCAGCTCTCTGAAGGTCCCACCACAGGCTTTAGACCAGCTTCAGGTTCTGGACTCTGACCAGACCACTGCAGCACCTTGATTCTTTCTTTTTGTTCTGTTGTAGATTAGCTGCTGTGATTGGGATCATTGTTCTGTTGTGTTTTTCATAGAATATATAGATTTTTAGTAAATCTTGTGGTTATCAAGAAGATAGCCTTGCCTTGGTGCAGGGTTAGAAAACATTTGGCTCTACATAGCATCCAGTGTAGGTTAGACACAAGCAGATTCTCAGTACATCATCAAAGAACAGACAAACTTATGTGGATTATGTAAGAAGCAAAGCACACATTGCAGCACTGATCACACACAATCACACTTCCTCACTGCAGGTTTGTCCTGTGGCAGGAGAACTCACTGGAGTTGAGGAGGATCATGGCCTTCAGACACACGTACTCCTCCCTCTGAAGCTTGAGCTCACGGAAGCGAGAGGTGGCTGCCAGCAGCATGTCGAAAATCTCCATGATGCCCTCCACACATTGTCCCTCCTCCCTGAGGGGACACAGAGCAGAGGAGGTAATCTACTGAGAATTCAGGGGTTAGACACTGAAACACAACATCCTTTCAGACAGCTTCCTCTGTCGTCCACAGTTAATCCTGTTGGATGTGGTTGGTCCTTCTTGGTGG